GGAAGCCGGCCCCGAACGAGCGTGGTTGCTGGCGGGGATTTGGGTCGCCGGCAGCAAGGAGAGAGAGGCGTGGGGCTGCAATTCGCAATATTGCAAAGGTGCAATATGAAAACCCATCTGAAAACAGCCTTTAATTTAGCCCCGTGTGCCCCCTCTCAGCGCCGCTGCCTCCCACGCACCCACCGCACGATGCTGCAGAACCTTCTCCAGTACTCACCACCGCCCCCACTGCCCCCCTTTAAAAAAAAAACAAACCAAAATCCCCTTTTTTCCAAATCGCCTTGCAACCAGGCGACTGCGGCAGCCAACCTCCTTCTGCCACCCTCCCTCTCCCCCCCCCCCCAAAAAAAAAGCAGCGCAGAGAGGGTTTCTTGGCTTTCACAACCCCGCGCTCAATATGCCGGGCCACGTGTTGTCGCAGCAGGCACGTGCGCCCGCGCGGCGCGCTCTCCCGCAGGTCACGGCCGAGATTTATTGTGAAAACACCAGCAACTTGTTTTACAAGTGCCGCGAGCCTCGAATCGCCGCCTGCGGGAGGGATGAAATCCCCTTTCCCCTCTTTCGGGGCCGGGGAGGATCCTTCCTGCAAAGGAGTCTCGGTTTCCGCAGCCCCGTTTCCAAACCTGCTCCCCTTTTTCCAGGCGCTCTGGGGTTTTTCAGTGTTGCTTTTCCACCCGGTGCGAGCAATAATTTAAAGAAAAAGTAAAAAAAAGAAGGATTTTCCCGGGGGATTAAGGGCTGTTTTGGGGTGCCCTGGTTGGAGATGGTGTCAAACGGGTGCAAATCAGGGCAAGGATGCTCGAGAAAGGCTGAGGTCTGCCGGGCTGTCAGTCTGGCATCTTCCAGCAGTCAGAGGAAATAGAGGAAAATAAAATTGCAATGCAATCGTCTGCCCTCCTCACCCCGCCTGCTCCGTGCTCCGGAAAAGCGTTTTTGCAGCAAATCGAGGGGAAACGGGCAGAAAACGGCCAGACGGAGCCGGCCGCGCTCTGATTTTCCCTCTGCTCCGAGGCCGGGTCCTGCATGCAGCTATGGGGGAGATGGGGAAGGAGCAGGCCGACGGCCAAAGCCGGGCTGGAAAACCCACAGGTTGGGCTTTGCCCATCTCCTGATTAATCCGTTGGACCCGTTCCCGTAAGAAACGAGTCATTTAGAGGGTTTTAAAGCAAACCTGAGTGGAGGAACTTGGTCTGCGATGGGGAGGGAACCGATGTGGTGTCTGTGTCTTGATAGGAATTAGGATAAACGTTAGAGTAAAGCATCCGGTAGGTGATGGTGGAGACAAAGTCGAAGCCGATATCTTCGTAGGAAGGATGGACTTTGCAGGGGGGAAGGGTGGCCGGTGGGATGGGGGCTTGGTGTGGGAATCAGGGCGAGCCTCAGAATCCGGGCGCCCGGGATTTCTCTGGGCAAACGTGGGCAGTTTCGCAAAGCCGAGGAGAGAAGCGGCAGAACGGGTCGGTCCTTGCCTTTTGGTGCCGTAAGCTGGTAAATAAGGTCAGGAAGGATTTTCCCCCCAGCTGGTGCTTTTTGGGTGCTTTGGGAGCAGCGGGAATTCAGCGCTGCAAGGGGGCAAGACGCCACGTCGATGGGTTTACCCCTATGTGGGATGCCACCAGCGTTTGCTCCCCATGGCAGAGCTATTAATACCGTAAAAGCATTTGAGAACAATACTTTACCCCCTGCCCCATCCTTCCCTGGCAGCTCACCTCTCTTTTTCTCCTTTTTTTTTCTTTTTTCTTTAACTTTTCCAGCCTACCTGACGGTCAGCATCGAGCCGCTGCCGCCCGTGGTGGTGGGAGATGCCGTCACCTTGAAATGCAACTTCAAGACGGATGGGAAGATGCGGGAAATCGTCTGGTACCGGGTAAGCGGCGCCGGGTGCGTTCTTCCCTGCCCTTGGGGATGGGGACGCGAAGCCACCCGGCTGCTTTGCTCCTGTACGACAGAAGGTCAAGGCTGGATGGCGGAGAGAAAGGCAGACGGCGCTCTCGCTGATGGGAATATTGATTCGGTGGAGCAGGCGGGCGGGTTGGCCTTTGAAAACCTGGGAAGGGGGGGGAAAGAGATGTAAAATGGCTTTGCAATCATCCCGAGGGCTCCGTGAGGCTTTCTCCAAGCGTTTTGTTACGTTTTCCGGGTGGATTTGGGGTTGGCAGGCTCGGTGCGGTGCTGGGGGGCTTTGCACCCAGGGTCGGGGTTTGGGATCCCGGGGCGGGGGGGTCGGGTCGGCACTGCCATGCAAAGAAGGTTTTCACGTTGGGTGTGAAATCATGCAAAAAAATAAAAGGGTGGGGTTTGTGCGGCGGGGGAAATAATGCAAAATTGAGGGTGTTTGGGGCTTGGGGAGCACCGCTGGGCTCTTCAAGCCTCCCCCCGAAACCTCTCCCCTTCCCATCCCCAAATACTCGTGGCTGTAGGATGCTGATCTGGAGCAAAGCAAGATCTTAAAGCATCAGGTTTTATTTGGGGAGGGGGGATTTGGAGGCTGTAGCTTTGCCCCCTCCCGGCATCACTCCCATCTACACCGAGCCTGGACCCAGCCGCAAATATAACAGTCCAGAGCAGTATTTTTGGCTTTTTCCAGGGAGTTTCAGGGTAAGCTGCCAAACACAAATAAAACCCCCACAGTGGTTTGATCAGAGAAAACTCAAAAGTTTTCCAGGACGGGGGAAAAAACTCAGCTCTTTCCTTGCACGTTTGCTTGCAGAGGAGGCAAAGAAGGAGCTAATTTGGCTGGTGGCCTCGGCTGAAGCGGCCGCCCTTTGCTGTAAGATATTTTTTCTCGGTTTTACCCTCCTGTTTCTGCTCCCTGAACAAGGAGCGTCTCTGCCTTAAAGCTCTTCTTCGCATCCGGGCAGGTTTATAAATAGGAAAAGGTGCTCTCAGGACTGATATATATTCAGTTGCCGGAGCGCGGTGCGTGCACGGGAGTATTTTCATCGAGTGCTGGCTGTTGGCTATAAATATGTGTATTTAGATGTGTAGGGGATGCAAGCAGAGAAATAGCAACATATAAACCAAAAACTGACCCGAACCCTAAATTCTTGCAGTTGGCTTCGGCTCCCCCTTTTTTTGGGGAGGGGGAAGGAGGCTTTTTGCGTGGTGCTCCTTCCGCCGGCACTGCCATCTCCACCAGGTTTTTCCTTCCCTTTTCCACTCGGTAATATTGGATTAACCCACTTTCTCGCGAGCTGGGGCTGGATTTGCCTAATCCCCACCGCCCCGCGCTGAGGGATGCTGGAGCCCTCAGCACGAGGATGACGCGCTGGGGGCGGCCGAGCAAATTACTCTCCAAGAAACCACGCAGAGAGAGAGAGGGAGGGGAAAAAAAATAACCCAGCTTTTATTTTTATCGCTGCAAATCCCCCTTTCTTCCAGGTTTTTTACCCCCCTTCCCGCTCCCATTTCCTTTTTCTCCTTTCCCAGGGAGCTTCCCGCATTTGGCAAGTTGGGTTTTTCAGAGAGTATCTCGGGATTTCTCGAATTCCCTCCTGATTTTAGGGGGTTTTCTCTGTTTTCCCCCCCCAATCTTGTCCCATTCATGGACTTTTGCAGCTGCCCAAACCCCCAGTCGCAGCTCCCTGATGCAGGAGGTGACGGATGGTCTCAGGCGAGCTGGGGTGGAGCTGTTGGGGCCGCGGAGTTATATTTATACCGTTTGTAAATCATCCTGACAGCATCTTTGTGCGTGGCGCCGGAGCAGTGGAGTGCGGTGGTGTGGAGACTCGCCGGGGCTCTCGTTTCCCTCGGTTTATTTTACAGGGAGAACGAGCCCGTTGAGTTTAAGGATGCGGAGCTGCTCCAGCGGCACGTGCCAGGTTGCGGAGGGGGGGGGAGGCAAAAGAGGGGGAGCGCAGCAGCAAACTCGATGGCAGCAGTTGGGTGTAGGGCATCGGGTGGGTGCGTAATCCCAAGCACAACTCCAGGCTGGGTGGGGAATGGCTGGAGAGCGGCCCTGAGGTGAAGGACCTGGGGGTGCTGATTGACCGGAAGCTCAGCATGAGCCAGCAATGTGCAATCGCAGCCCAGAAGGCCAACCGTATCCTGGGCTGCATCAAAAGAACTGTGGCCAGCAGGTCAAG